ACAGCGTTCTCATGAGAACGATTGCTCTGTCATTGTCAGTGTTATGGAAATATGAATACTGACGATGAAGACAGAACCTTCGTTCTCATGAAAACGCTGCTCCCCTGTTTCGAGAATAAAGTCCCTGCTGAGTGGCTGAATTTAGCCGCTGGCACCGCCTGAATGTACCCATTGTTTCACGAGTTCATACTTTTTGCCTTCCTTTTTTAACAAATAGGAATTAACTGAAACAAATCAAAAACGTTCATCGGTTCTCAAACCAGAAATCATTCATTTTGATTCGTCAAAAAAATTTAATGTGTCATATGAAAGAAGCTACGACAACCCTTTTTTTTTCAAGTTATGACGTGTTCGATATCAAAAGTATGAACTCTGGTGAAACGATCTGTACTCAGAAACCTTAAATAAAACTAAAGGTGTTGTATCGAAATTAAAATCTGTCACAATTACTACTGATTTATGGAGTTCCAGAAACAATGAAAGTTATATGGGCGTTACTGGTTACTTCATTGACGCAAATTATGAAGTTAAATCAGTACTGCTTGATATTTATTTTTATTTGAAGGCTCCCATACTAGTGTCAACTTACCTGATGAATTACTTCGAATTGTTAGAGAATGGGATTTGGAAAAAAAAAAATATTAGTAGCTATATCTGATAACGCTGCCAATTTTAAGAAAACTTTTTAAGAAGATTTAAAATGAAAACATTTCGGATGCTTGGCCCACCCACACCATCAATTTGATTGCTCAAGACGGACTGGAATCAGTGGAAGATCTCACAGATAAGGTTAGCAAATAGTAAGCTTTTTTGAAAGAAGTCACTTGGCTGAACAAAAACTTGATTGCTTTCAACAACAAAATGAAAACACTCCAAAAAAATTGCTTCAATTTGTTCCAACAAGGTGAAACTCTGTGTATTATATGTTGAGAAAATAGCCGAATTATAGGAAGAAGTAAGAGCATCTCTTGCTGTTGTAGCCAATGAAAATACCCCACCCTCAGCAATAATGAGTTTGAAGAAATAAATCAGCTAATTAAACTACTTGCACCATTAGAATCAGCAACAAAGGCAAATGAGTGGTGAAAAATACGTTTCACTTTCCTCGGTCATCATTATAACTAACGAATTACTGAAAATTTATGACCGAATTTTAAACAATCACACATTGGTCAGACCACTTTCAGATAGACCAACAAAAGTTGCCGAAGATTTATTCAATAGCCTCCAAACTGGCTTTAAAAATTTAGGAATGGGTTCAACATTACTAGTTTCTACATTTCTGGATCCTCGTTACAAAAACATTGGTTTTTCTAGCAAAAACTTTGGTGAAAAGGCGAAAACATTGGTGATAAATATTTATAATAAGTTATATTGACTGCTTTAACAATACGGATGCAGATGGACCAGGGCCAGAAGAGGATAACTCCCAAGAAACTTCAACTAATAATAAATTATCGACCAACAAGCTTCTCAGCTCTGACCTGCTGCTGGAAACAGCCGATCCAAAACAATTGTCGAAGTAAAGATGCCTTGAAGAGCCTGTGCTCAGTAGCAGAAGTGATCCATTAAGTTGGTGGAAAAATAATGGACATGATTTTTTTAATCTAAATAAAAAAGTGTTTCATAAATATGGAACGATATCAACATCCGTTCCATGTGAATGTCTGGGTGAGATCATATCAGGAAGACGAAGTATAGACATACAGCAGATAAAGTTAAACAAGTTATGTTTATTAGAAATAATGATTACCTTACCGAAATTTTTTGTTTTTTGAAATAACTGTTGAAATATAGCAGCTTACGCGATAGCGACCCATCTCTACAGACATCCTTATCCTCCCAGATCTTGCGATTCAACTTCATGCGACTATTTTTGTGGCCACATATCAAAAGTACAATATTTTCCACTCCTATCAACAATTTAGATGAGCTTCGCCATCCAATAACAAACAAAATTCAAGAGATGAATAAGAATTCTCAAATGTTAGGAAATGTATCCAATTCCGTAAGAAAAAGGGTTTTGAATTTTATTGATAACATGTTCAACTTTTTTTGAATTAAAATTTAATAATTTACCTACTATTCTCTTTGTATTGACTGGTTTTGAATTATGAAATAGGCACTCGTAGTGATTCCGCGAGACTCTCACGTCTTGTGTCGAAGGTTCGAGAGGAGATAAGTCTCTCGTCTCGACGAGAGCCTCTCAATTACGAGACGAGGGAGCTCTTCACTCGTCTCGTCTCGTTTTCTCTCGTCAGTTTTAAGTGTTTTGACGCATAGTAAGTTAACTTCGACTCCGAACACAAAAAAATACAATGCTTATGGCCGTTTGCACCGACCATTTTAAGGGAGGTTTACCAATAATCAAAGTTTAAAGTGACATTTTCACATGTAAAAATGTCACTTTAAACGTTGATTATCTTTAAACCTCCCTTGAAATGGTCGATGCAAACGGCCATTAGTCTTTTAAAGTCCGACCGGACGCTCTAGTAATAAGCTTACGTAATTATAAAGGTTGAAACAAAACTTGAGGTGAAAATTGGACCCTGAATTAATCGGTGATTATGGTGGAACTATGATTCTGAAGAGGCCTATCGTTACACTTCAATTGAAAACCAGACTTTTCTATAATATCCTATTCTAATCACACAAAAAAAATAATCTCCTATCCTGACTGGATTGTCCATTAAGCCAGCAAATAATTATTTCAAAAGTGTACATTATCCCTAATCATCGAATCCAAAATCTAATTTGCCGGTGCCAATCGGGCGTAAATATTAATCCGAATTCTGTGAGTGGGTTTATTCAAACCAACAAGCTCCTGAGTGGATATTTTAAACAAACGCTACATAATGCGATGGGAGTCGAGTGGCCCGTATATTGGCTGCCGTCGAGGGCACAACAAACATTGCGTTTGCTAAAACAATCATCACCCATTCTAAACTGGGGCATGAGGGAGGCCCTTCTCTTTATATATAGTTTCACGGTCGAACTACCTTCGAGAACCTTTACCATCTGATTTTTTTTTGGAATCCTGTTTTAATTTTGAATCAACGAAAAAGCGAAAATTGGTAAACTTTCTGGCAGCAATAAACACTTATGTTGAAGTGGAATAATCCATTTATTTTATTAATACCAAAATTTTATTGATACTGTTCCCACAGCATCGAAATGCATATGAAGGCTGTTATGAGAAGCACACGGCTAATTTATTAATGCTCTTCAGTGTTGATAGTCGAGGCATTTAAAGTATTTCAAATGCAATGAGATATCTGTTTATACAAAACGATTTTTGGGTTCAGTTCTCATGAGTTCAAAGACTTTTGAACTCAATTGAAAATATTTTTAGAAAATGTACAGAGTTGTGAGTGGAAACAATCATCAAACTCTGTAAAAATCGTCTTGTGCTCCGACTCGGGTCCTTTTTTTATCGATTTGCCGCCACTGTCATATATCCTAATGGAATGTTTGAAGTATCCCTTGTCCATTAGTTGATTGCTATAGGGAAGCGACCCATCATTATATCGAATACATAATACAACAAAATACGTAAAAATGTTGACTTATCTTTAATATCGCTTCCTTTGTTTTCTTAAAAGTTATGTAGGAAGTAAGTTTTTTATTTAAAATAATACTTTTCACATAATCATGTGCCCATCATTAAGCCACACCCATTAAAAACAAGTCCAAGTTCATAAAATTCTAACGTAAAATATCCAGGAGGCCTTTTGTGCTAAAACCACAAACGGACAGACAAGCGTGAAGGTGAAATTACACGGTTGCGACCAGAAAAAAAACGAAACACAATACCGCGCAATAGTTTCTGTTTGATCCACGTTGGTCGGGTAGATTTACACGTATAGATATAGATAAAATGATAGATAGTTAGATGGACGTATTGATAATCTTTTTGTAATGCGCCGTGGCAGGGGAGAGTGTAATGCTAGTAGGTTTTTGAGGGGGTGTTCACTAATGAATAATTGATTTTGGTTTGATGCATAAGGTCGTTAAGAAATATGTGTGGTTGATGTACGAGTGAGCCATCATAAACTTCTTATGTCGGTTTGGGTAAATCGTGGAACAATTTTAAATTCAGTAATCGGTGTCTAACCAAATAATGCATTTGAAAAACTTGGCAAATTTTCATTTTAATGAATTCAACTAGCAAATAAAAACACTCGAAAATTGAGTCTTCGTATAATAGAACCAGAAAATATATTATGGTTTATCAATTTGTTTTGAATTAGAATACCTATGTATGTATGTATAAAAGTGAGAAATATTTAAAATTACTTGTGATAAAGCGGAGATGTATAATGTTCTGATTGATATCCCAAAATTCCCAAAAAATCCATCTTGGGAAAAATCCGCCATTTTGAAAAATTACCTCAATCTTGGATTTGCCGAATTTTAAGAATAGTGACTGAACCGATCATCATATTTTATTCGTTTTTGCATGAAATTACTTTATCTGAGCTGCCACAATACTAAAATTATTAAATATAGGACAATTTTGGTGCTGGAAAAAGAATAAGGCAGCATAAAGGTCATAAGGCATCATAAAGGTCATAAGGCATAAATAAAACTACATTATCAGGGAAAAAAATTAGACAGCTTGTTTCGTGGTATCGGACTGGAACTCGACTGACTGCTTATTGACTAGCGAAAGTCTCAAACGGTGGGTAATGCACAATGACGTAGTAAGAAGGTTTAGAATGGGCTTTGCGTCATTCAAATGATTCCAGAATGAGATAGCGCTAGTAAGGGCAGAAAATCTATTGGATCTCCCGGATCTCTCACTCTAATCTTGGCCGCAAATATACGTATCGAGTAGATAGGCCAGGGGCGATTCCAAACCTTCTCACTACGTCATTGTTAATGCTGCATGATCTATGATCTGAAAATTTATCACCTATTAGCGTCAGCGTCTTAAATTGACGCTGACGTTAATAGGTGATAAATTTTCAAAGTTTTCTTCAAATTTTGTAGCTATTTACCGATAGCACATCAGCCGAAGGTTCAACGTCGTCATGGATATCCAAGTCAGCGTAGTCCAAACGATTTGTACAGCCATGTCCTGCACAGTAGACGCACATATTTCTACAATTCAAACCGTTGCTTCTGCAACCGCATCTATTTTCGCACCCAGATTTACAATTGCAGGATATGATGTTGAGAATCCGTTCCGGTTCTTTTGTAGTTGGAATGGGTTTTGGCTGACCTGCATACGCAATTAATCCCCATTCTGCCTCCGGCAGGCGATTCCCCTTCCATATTTGCACCAAAAATATATAAGGCGTATTAGTTCCAACTCCCCGGTGGTAACCAAATGATAGATAATTTGTTCCTTAACTGGTAGTAAACTCGGTATATGAATGTTGTTTGGCCGCTGCAGATGTAGGCGGAAGTGTAGCTACATCAAAGGTCATTGTAACTGACTATTTGGAAACTGTCCACTGGTAGAGTCGATGTCTAACATTGTTTAAGTTACCTTCCTCTCCACAGCCGTATAATGCAAGAAGAAAGCGTTTGCCTGCTACCGCAATATACTGGTGCGTAGCATTCGATACGTTAAAGACGGATACTATCTCCCTTAAAGAAGCGTCTTGCTTGAACTTCTTGAAATATTCACTTTTGCCTTTTCTAAATGAAGCAGAAGTGGTATCACATCTAGTTACTGCATGGAAAAACAACAGATAGTTACGGAGATCTCCAAGAATCGCGATTAGCTCTTCACTACTAAAGACCCGGACTTCTGCAAGATCGAAATCCTCCCCTATATCACTGAAACCGCACCATTGTTAGCTGCTTCCACAGCATTTTCCACTATGACGGTATCCGTGTCTTGATAGAAAAGCTATGAATCGCACTTTGTTTTTCACATTTGCTAGAAACGCTCCTTGTTGTGATGTTGAGGACAAAGCATCGTCGATTAAAATCTCTGTCGATGCTCCTCTGGCGTTTCTTTTGGTATGTTCTTCATCTTTGATGTTTGGAGATTCGTAACCGTCGAAAACCACAATAGCATTTTGCCCAAAGTGATTTTTCATGTACTTCACATACTGGAGGCAGATTTGGCTGAAATTTGCTGGACGCGCCCACACAACCCTGTGTAAAAGGAACCCGTCATCCACTGTAAACTCTGCGTTCACTGAAAAGTTTTTCACAGGCGGCACTATTTCTTCTAAAACGTTTATAAATCCAGACTTAGTGCCTTTACGCATCAACGTCCTGTCAAACAGCGCTGGAAGCTGCAAAAGTTCATATCTCAAGTACTCCTTAAGGTCTTCATCGTCACGCACAACACATAGCAATCGATAAGAAGTGGGTTGGGGTTGATTTCGACGACAGTGTCTTTGATCGTAGCCATTCTAGACGCTGTGACGAAGTTCGTGACTTTGTTGTTTCGCTTTAAGTGGACGTTACCAAATTTTTGCCCTGTGATTGATTTCATTGCTTGCAAACCACGGAAGAGAGCTTCATCACAGTTAACTGTATCGTGGGCTACTACACCGGTAAACAAAGACACTAGATGGCTCGTTGAGTAGTTGAAAGAATGATGTGACTTGCTAACGTCTGCCTTATCTCTCATTTGCCGTGACTCTCTAAGCCCAACATGCTGGTTGGAGATTTCGACAGAGACTCCACAAAACATTTCAGTAGCGTCCATTATGTTTATAGATGAAGGCATGGCACAAACCCATCGACCAATGACGTTATCCGTTAATCCACGTCCACGTGTGAGCCCACCCGCCGTTTTCATATTTCTCGTCAACACTCGCTGTATTGTCATATCGGTCCATACGCCTGACCAGAACTTTCCAGTTCTCCTAACAGTAAAGCAGCCCTCTTTGACAAATTGACGGATTTCCAATGGAGTCATAACAAACTCGAGCTTTGGTGCATTTGTTGTAGGTACATGTGAGCACATTTTGCATAGTTAAAATATCCCGCAGAGTAGAAAAACGGAATCATTCCTTGGACACACAGCAAGTGAAGAGCCCAATCTCCGGAACGTTCAGTTCTAAAAGACAGCCGCATGATACCAACCATCTCAAAGTATTGCACCCACAACTTCGCAGTGCGCCGTCCAAATGCAACGAGGAATTTTAGTTTAGCGTCGAACATATTTACTGACTGAGCGACGTATTCTGACGTCAAACTATTATCTACAGAAGTCTTTCCAAAGAGGAGGTCTTAGTGTATTTGTTTCAGGTTATCGCTTAGAAGAGTGTCGAATTGTCGACATCTACTATATCCTGAATGATCAAGATCGCCAGCGATAGCTAAGTCAAAAATGTGCGCGGCGAGCTCGCGCGTAGGCATGGCCGTTTACCATATGGGTCCCCGTGTTCTTTGCTTACACTGTCTCCCACAATTCTTCCAGGCCGTTACCTGCCATGATGGTTCCCACAGCATGTGAAAGCCACCGAGGCGCGAAACAAAACACGACAACAGGATCTCTTCTCCAGCCGCAAGAACGATGTCCAGCGCCTACGCGGAGAGAGGTTGGTCAAAAGTTGACTGCTGCGCCTATCTACATATCTCCACGGCGAATAGAAAACAGGTGTAAATCGTAGTAGGATTGGAAGGCGAAAGGTTAACGAACGACAATGGAAGAACCTTAGCGGTTTTGAACTTTTCCTTAGATGTTACTGCGTCCATAAATCCATTCCAGCCAGGCCCTGGAGTTTCTTGGAGCTGATATCCCCACATCCACATCATATCAATGAGATTGGCTTCCTTGGCTGAGGCAGATTCTGGAAGAGCAGCGCTAACGTCTTCCGCAACGATATGTGCTGTACCGATTCTGGGTTTTTCATAAGGTACCAACTCGATTGTACCTAGAGACCCCAACTCTGTTGTCGGAAGTGATTGGTTAGTTCTTGTAATCGGATCGCTTGCTTTGATGGCTTGTGAAGGCGTTATGCACCTTATTCCTCCCATGGCGTGAAAGGTGCCATAACCATCTAAAGTCACGTTGTGGTCAGCATTGTCGAATACAAACTGTACAAATGCATCTTTGTTCACTGATGGATCAGCGTTCTTTGCAACTGCATCCTCAAAACCAATCGTTTCCGAGTACGTCGCACATACACCAAGTCTGGAAAGCATATCAAGTAACAGCTTCGAGCCATATCGTAGATGAAGGGTGACTCCTAATCCAAGTTGTAAGGGAGAAACGAACCAACGTGGTCGGGCAGCAGCAACTATCGAATGTGCGATTGTTGTAGCTTTTCTTTTTGTAGCGGTGTCTTCATCGAATGATTTGCGAGTTTGAAGAACAGTTTTCGGAAAACATTGTAGAGCGGTCGGGATCAAATCCTCATTTCCAGAGGATATTTGTTCTGCTGTTGGATAAGTGGAACAGTCATAAGCTTGGGACCGTATTTCTTGGCGGATGATTCTCGCCGCGGTTTCCACAATTCTCATCTTTTCTTCTTTTTCATCGTTCTTCCCCTATCTGTACCGCGCTTTATTGATAACTTCATGAGCTTTCCCTGTGAAGCAAATGAATTCTACTTTTTCCAATTTGCTCGGTAGTGATGATACTTTCCCCATAAAAATTCTGTAGTTTTCTCTTGAGAAGCTTTTCACTATCAAGTTCCTCTTCAGGGCAGGTGCTTGTCATAAAGGCAATAAGTTCCCGGAACTGCTTTCAAGGTAATCACAAAGCTTTTGAAACTTCCTTAGCTTGCCTTGGTCTTCATAGCGTCAACCACGACATGACGATTTACCTGAAGAGACCCTTGAAAACGCTTTTGGTTGGTAGGTCTGGCAGAACGTCGCGTAGCAATCACGGGGTATCGAGCATCAGCAGCCACTAGATCATTCTTGGTGCATAGTCTTCGAGAAATTTCTTCGTCCCATGAAACAGCTCGGTCTGCAGCTATATTGCACGTATGTATCATGTATACATCACAGACAATTATGGTACTTGGCGATCTGGATGCTTTTCCTTCTCGCAAACGTCAATGTTCTGTCCACAAAAATGCATTTTTGTTTAAAATTAAACACGTCGTTCGCGCAGCTCAGGCGACTGCTTCGTTGCGGTTGCTGTGCACCTTCACCGTCAGTGTAAGCCTTCCTACAACTCTCATGCACTTTAATTTTTTTTTCCCAAAGTAACGACGCAATGTCATCGTTTCTTTCATTACTCATCCAGCCTAAAGTGTCCAGGCCCTTATTCACATCAACAATCTCACCACTTTCAAGACCTTTGCACAAAACGCACACAATGCTTTCCGATGTGGATTCCATAATAACAAAAAATAATAATTTTCACACAAAATTGATAAATCCCCCGCAGTTTTCAGTCCGGAATCCACCACTTCGAATGTGTATTTCATACAGCAGGACACATAAATAACACAAATAAATAACACACGGCGCCGCGCTACCAGTTCTTTACGACCACAGAACACAGCTATTTTTTTACGATATACAATACAGCAACGTCGACTCACCAAGTGACAGCCAAAATTGTGACATTTGAGTTGTAGAGGGCGCTACTGTACTTAGAGCTCATAAAATTATGGCGCGTAAAAAGTTTAATTAGACGTGTGGTAAAAGCAGAAATCACACGTCAACGGTTTTTCAGGTGCCAAAATTTAACGAGCTCCAAGTACAGTAGCGCCCTCTACAACTCAACTGTCAAGAATACAATAGGTTTGTTCGGACTTCAGAATCAGTTCTGAATTGAACTGCGCTTGTGCATTTATTCATATCGAACATAAATAAACAAACGCGCATGCGCAGTTCAATTCAGAACTGATTCTGAACTAAGTCCGGACAAACTTAATATTCGCCCACAATGCATGCCGCGTAGCGCGGGTAATTTAACACATTCTCATCGTCGCGTCCTGTTTTCCATCATGGGGCCACTTTTTTCCCCAGAAAGCGGATTTTCCCCAAGATAAATTTTTAGGGAATCTCAGGATTTCAATAAACCATTATCCCTAAGATTTTGAACGTGTTATTTTAAATGTCCAGGTTTGGTCAAATTTTTGTCTTATTTGCCTACACTATAATATACACTATGCATCATGCAGGATATAAATAAATACTCGTATGGGGCATGCAATGTTAGAAGCTTTTTTTTTTAGCTATAGGCGACCAATGTCGCTGTATTAATGGAAACGTATGAAAGTGAATAACGATAAAGTTACACCGAAAAATGACATATTGCTAAACAAAAGAGGAATACGTGAGTTGGAGGGTATACATTTTAATGACTATTTCACTAGAGTGTATATTCAAATTTGTTGCTTTTCAGCAATTTCGCTCATGACATTTTTAATAAAATCACTCGCCTGACGGCTCGTGATTTTGTCAAAAATGTCATTCGGGAAATTGCCAAACAACAAACTTTCATACCTTTCGAAAATTTCGCTGACAAATTTTTTTCTCTTGTGATATTATATATAAAAATATCCAAACCAATATTGAAACTCCTTGGACACATATGCAAAGCAGTGCCTCCGCGGCACATATCCCAAAAAACTTGGTAGTGAATTTCAACGTGATGGTGGTTTAATTTCTACCCATTTCAAACTCAAAACCACACCAGCAGGGTCCTTATTCTTAAAACAGGGGAGTAGCGTTCCGAGGAGAACGAGTGTTCCGTCTTTGTTACTTATATTATCATTTGCATATCATTGAGAAAGACGGAGCACTCGTCATTCTCCTGGGAACACTGCTCCCCTGTTTCAAGAATACGGACACAGGGAGGACCGAAATGACAACAATGTGACAACAATTTCGAAAATTGACAATTTTGTCAGAGGCAGATATTTATCACAAAGACTGCAGTACCCGTATGTCGCCAGTTTAGCTGTTTGAAAGCATGTTCAAGAACGGTAATGAACAATGTTGGAGAAAGTATTGCCCTGTGATTTTGTTGGTTGTAGAATAGTTCCCTTCGAGCAGATATTTTTGCCAATACATACTGTAATAGGGCATGTCCATGTGACGTCACAAATGAGGTTGACAGTCGCCCTGAGGTAAAACAAATAATTTATTTACATTCGTTTAGATTAGGCCAGTTATGTTTTATGCGGTTTTCACAGCTTTTTCACAAGTTTTGGTGTTATTTTGTTTTAAAAAAGTTAGAGCGAAGTGTTTGTGTTCCAGTCTATGTGGTCTTTCATCTAAAAGTTTGCTAGGTTTTTCTATAATGGATTAAATTCAGGTTTTTTCCATCAAATATCAAAACCAAGTGTCACAAGAACAAATATATAAGTATAGTTACTCTATATTCAATCTATTTTTCTGTCAGATCTTCTCTTTTAAGAAAATTAATCAATTTTTCTCTTCTCTCTTGAGCTAACAAATCAAACCTTCAATTGTTATTTAAAATTGATGTGAACCTATAGAAGAATATTGTATCCCTTGCGCTATACTGCCACAATTAACAACTAAACAAACTCTAGGCATGTCCAAGAAACTTCTGGAGCACACAAAAGGTATTTATTTAAAAAAATCTAACTAAAAACTTTAAAAACACTGTAAATTATATCTTTGTTTTACCTCAAGGCGATTGTCAATAGTGTCAAACTGTCAGATCGTGTACTTGCCCTATACAGTCGATTTAACATTATTGTGGAATTGCTGGCAACTTAACTTTACTGAAAGCCTTACGGAAGTCAGACAATACTAGAGTTGAGAGGCGATCGTACTCAACAGTCTTTCCTATAAGGATTTTTTACCATTAAAGGTGATCATTTGTGCCGTAACCAGAGCGAAAGCCGGCTTGCTCCCTAGATAGATTAACAAAAAAGGATCATGATTGAGATGTTTCTGTCATCTGGAGTGTTATGATTGTGGATGCACAAGTTTTTGAATATGTTATCGCCCATTTTTATCTGTTGTTGAACCGTCTTCACCTGGAGCTTTGTAGTTCTTCATCTTTTCAAGCGCTTTGTGAAATCTCCTCTACAGAAATAAATGTCAGGATTGGATATTCATCACTTGTCTTCGCCCATGTTCCTTTGAGTCTAAAGAACTCTGATTTTTTGTAAAGACCTAACCCGATACGTAGTATTTGTTGTCTATTGTGTGTTGTACTACTAGCTTCGTCTTCATAAGCTTGAAAATCTCCTAGGTCCCATTGGTAATTTTCCTTTTTGTTGGCTTCATATTTTTATTTTTCTCGTTTGCTTGGAACAGAGTTTTCCCTTTGCTTCTGATATCGTATTTTCTATTTACTATAATGTCATTTAACTTACTTATGTCGTTCTTTGTTAGTTTGTTTTTGGGGATGTACATATTCTGCAAATTCATTTTCGACTTTCGGGTTTGCTTACGTTTTAGTTTTGTTTTTAAGTATTTATCTCTTTCTAACTTGTTTTGTATTTCGATCCTTGCTCTCAAAATCCGAAGGTCGCTAGTTGTTGCCAATTAATCCGGTGCTGTGACGACGTTGAATAAATGTTATCGGTTATGAACTCATCTATTTCATTTTTTATTTTTCCATCCTCCCTACTTCTTTCAGCAAATAATTTTATATACCATTCAATTAGCAAGTTATAAGCAAAAGCGACAAAAACTAGAAAGCAGCAATAGCCAATCCTCGCAAATGTTACAACCCACAATTTTTTCTTTTTCAACATATTCATATGAAATCACCAATCCCGATAAATCATCTTTTAAAAAAGGTTAATTAAACCTGAAAATAATTACCCCAGTCAAATTAATTATACGCTCAACGGTGTATCTCTCGCATGCAAACCCAATGTAAATATGGATCAGCGTGACGTGCGGTATTTTATTAGATCACAAGGGCGAAGGGTGTGGCGGAACGAATACAGA